GTTAAAATGGCGTGTAAGCCCCCGGGTCTAACTACTTCTTTGGATTTTCATTTCTTTTCTGGGAAGTCCCTGTGCACCTGTAAAAAAAAAAATTAACATCAATTAACATTGTTTGTTTTTCCTCCTGTTAACCTGTCTTTGTGAGTTTAATTTGCAGGTTCCAGGTACAAACCTAAGAGGACAGAGAAAGATTATTTTCCTCCCCTACAGGTATGATGAGAATTAACCAACCATCACAGAAGAAGACCTCACGGAGGCCAAGATGTGGAGGTGAAGAACAGCTGAAACATCGGAAAGGCTCAGGACAAACTCTCCTCACACTTGCTAGGCAGGAAGGACTGTGTGCAGGACGAGCCAGCAGTGGGTAATGATGACCTGGGGCTGCGGTAGCAGGCAGGCGGCACCACAGGGGCTTCCTATACATTTGTTTTACGGTTTCATCAATGAAGAAATCATGCCCCAAAGCCCAAGATTTTCTTTGATCATCTTAATTTTGGGTTGTTTCATTGCTTTCAATAACAGTTTTGGAATATGCATGAACAATGTGATTTAATGTTTACTTCTCAATGAGAATTTTTATTTAATAAGTTCACAAGTCCAAAACTCTTTTCTGACCTCATACTCCAACACATTTGGAAAATATGTTTATTGCTGTGTCCTTGGAACAATGATTCAGACATTTTGTTGTCCAAAAAAAAAAAAAAAAAAAAAAAAACAAAAAACCAAAATAATTACATTATTTTTTTTCTAGCTTGACAAATGGTAAAATTAAGGTATAGAACAGTTGACCTGCTTAAGGAGACAATGAAAGTTATAGAATTGGGCCCACACCTAGGTCATCTTGCATCTAGGTCAGCTCACAGCTCATGGTCCAAGGCATAGATTTTCTACAGCCTTTGCATCATCTTGGCTCCCTTGCAGCTTCAGACCAATTGTTCATCTATTTTTAGCAGGCAAAACCACTGGGGAAGAAAGAAGCTAACAAATGAAAGGAAAAGATATAAGGCACAAGGGCAGAATGAATATCAGAGGTGGGATAAAAGTTAAAAAAAAAAAGTACCCTAAAATAAATTCAGGGTAACATGTAAGTAGATGAGATGTATGTTATGCACAATTGAATTTTTCTTTCATTTCCCTAATCCCACAACAGGGTTCAATTCTTTTCTTGACTGAACCCCCCTCACATTTTGTTTGTTCTTCCCCAAGGCCATTTATTAGATCCTGCCTCCCATAACATACCGTCACAATCACACCCTGACCAGACCAACTAGGTTATAAACTATTTGAAGGCATAGGCAAATTTCTTCCCCCCATTGAATTTAACATGCTTGTTGGATAACCAGGAGTGTATTCACAGCTAGAGTGATTAACAGCAACAACAAAACTGCTGGGTCCATTTTTATCTTCTATTTGGAAAAGCATTTGTTTCCAAAATGTGATTTTGAAAAGCTGAAGAACTGGCGGGGACATTACCGCTTGCTTGACTAAACAGATAAATAAAAACCACCAACTTTGCTCTCCGTGAGCACAGGAGGGACAGAAAGAGAGGAGTTTGAGCCTGCGCTTTGCGTTGTGGCATTTGAGTGCGCCTGGCGTGGGGGAGGGAGGGGGGAAGGCTGCTGAAGCTTGGCGTGGGGTTGACAGGGGGCTCTCCTGCTCAGATCACACCGTGTTGGCAACAGACCAGACATGAGGAACCCGCAGGACCTCTCTTAAACCTTTGTCACCTTCATTAATTCAATAATGATTTTTCAGGCAAGTTTCATTCAGGCACTTTGGGACAGGGCAGTGAGTCAGAGGTTGGCATTCAAACCAGAATAGAAGCCATAGTCCTCTCTGGGGAGCGTCCTCTGGGCTTTAAATTCCCAGATCATACAACTTCCTAATTGGTAAGAAATGTTCTTAAACAAGAGCGTAGGTTTCACCAGGCCTGACAGTGACTCACCAGGTGCTCCAAGGACTGTCTGATGAGAAAGAAGTTGGATTCACATGTCACAGTAAATTTCTAAAGTATTTTCCACCCGGAGGTTTATTGCTAAATATAAGTAAAATATCTCTCCTTGGGCAATCCCATTCCAGCTCCAGCAGATAAGCCTTCGGTAATTAAATTAACTTTGAAATGACATTCAGACAATGTCTTCCTTCCAAATGCCTTTGTTTTCTCCAAGATCTTACTGTCAAGCTGTTTCACAAGTTCCCGCGTTCACCGATTAAGCGCCCCACCCCCAGCCCGCATACTAATTGAGACGTTTTATCCTCTCTGTGTTCGGTAGGTGTAGAGCAGTCCCCACATTGCATTCATTTAACTGTGTTCCCAAAGGCCCACACACTTACAATACCAAAAATTTAAAAAAAAAAAAAAAAGATCCAGGGTGCTTAAAAAGGATCCGGATAAATGCAAAATTTAAATCACATTTACTGAAACGCACACAACTGACAGCAAATTCCTGAGTTGAGGAGAGAGGATTTTTTTTTTTTTAAAGTAGTCTCTTTCCAAAATCAGGCATTCGCGTCCTTATTACAGGGGCTCTCGGCTTAAACCCTTTCAGTCCGAAGCTGATCCCCGCCCCCCCCCCCCCCGTCCCCCCCGGGCGCGGGCGCGCAGGCGCGGGCACGCACACGTGGACACACAATCACTTGCACGCGCCCGCCCACACCCCCTTCCCTGCGAATCTCCCGCGGGATTTACAGGTTTCGCCACCGCGGATTACTGTCAGGTGCAGAAAGCAAGCCTTTGTTCCGTGAGCATCCTGCCCCCCACCCCCCGGGTTTGACTTATTTACTTGCCACGTGAGCTCTGAGCCGGGGCCGGTCCGGCGGGGAGGCCACCCCAGCGCAGGGGAGACAAAGGCTGGAAGCGCGCGGCCAGTGCGGCCCGGGGACGTCCCCCCAGCTCCGGCGACACGTGCGAAATTGGCCCGACCTGCCTGCGACTGAGCGGCTCTGGCACCAGACGTTCTGTGCCAGCCCGCGGGAAGGCGTCGGTGTTCCGTTGCGCGGGGAGGGGGCCCGGCGGGGGCCAGAGGATCCCTGGATGGTCGGGGCAGGGGGACTCCGCAGAGAGGCGCGCTCCCGGGGTACCAGGTAGAGCGAGGCTTTTAGACGGAGCCTCGCAGCCACCGCGGTCTAAGAGAGACCGACAGTGGCCCCCTTTGTCCTCGGGAGGGAGTACGACCCCCTCCATTCCCGAGAGGCCAAGCTCGGAGAGCCTTGGACCGCTCTCCTCACAGTGCCCGGCGTGAGCGACGCGCCTCGGGCGCAGAAGTTAAGGGCACCAAAAAGTCAGTGGTCAAAATATGTATCCTAATGCAATGCTTTCTGAAGCGATTAAAATTAATGCCAAAAAAGTATGTTGAACAAAAACACTAAATTCTAAATAGAGACAGGATCAGTGCAGTGCCCTGCTGAGCCAGTTTGTAGCCATAGGTCAAGGGAAGATTCCCCGGGTGTCGGGAATTTGTGGCGCAAGGGGAGAGGAGCGCGGGACTCAGGCGTCGGAAGTGGAGGCCCCTGAGAGCCGGGTAGGGGAGTGGCGGGGTGGCCCCGGGGGCCGGAGGTGAGAGATCAGGAGGGGAACAAAGGCGGGGCGGAAGGCCAGTCGGGGGTGGGAGAAACGGGAAGGGTTCGGTCCTTCGTTGCCGGGGTCGGACTTCCACTTGGACCTGGAGTGTAAGGCTCCGCGCCGCCAGCGAATCCTGCAGGGTTCCCGCTCGCTGGTTAATTCTCACTAACAAGACTTGGCAAGATGTCGGGCGAATAATTTTTGGCTTTTGTTGTGTCCGCATCGCGATGCACACAAGCCCCCTGACAAAAGCGGCTTCTGGGAAATTAAATGCATAACTAAAAAACGGGGGGTAGCGGGAAAAATGCTACCTGACCCGGAAAGGGGACGCCCCAGAGCTTATTAAACCCTGGACGGTAAATTTCTCAGGGTCTAGCTTCGCACCAGATGTGGGCCCTCATTGTTATTTCCCGAGAAGACAATTTGCACATGTGCAATACGGGGTGAGGACTTTTCCAAGTCACATAAATAAATAAATAAATATCGGATTTTTTTTTTAATTTTTATTTTTTTGTCTACTAGGGTTAAACAAACATCTTTAGGAAGCGTGGACGGGAGTAGCACCCTGCCTTCCTCCAGAGGAGCAACGTTCCGGCAATGAATGCCTCCCTCTGGATCTTAAAGCAGCTGCCCCAACACCCCGCTCCCATTACTGGACTTCGGGGCGGGAGGGCTTTTCCTTTCATCTTCTAAGTTGGGGTTTGCCCACGTCCTCGGGAAGCTATAAAGCTGATTTAATGGCGCAAGATGAAAATCGATCACGCTAATGCATAAGCTAACGTCAGAGGAAACGCACTTGAAAAAAACGGCTAGCCGGGCCCAACGCACTCGGTAAATCTGGAGCGAGGAGGTTCCGGGCCCTGTCGGGTGGACGGCGGCATCACGGTCCCCACTCTGCTTGGATGCGGGGAAGGGGACTAGCGAGGCTGGGAGGGGGGAGGGGGAGGAGCAAGGAGGTAAAAAGGACCAAACCCGATCCCTCGCCTCCGTTAGGCCGGGCTCTCAGCCGGCTACTTTCTTCCTGCCAACGCCGCAGCCCGGGTGGAGTCCCGGCACCGCCGCTCGCGTTGGGTAGATCGCGGATGGCGGAGGCTCGCGCCCGCGGGCTGACGACGAGAGGCGCCGCCGCGCTCCATTCACAAAGTGCCTGCGCGCAGCTTGCCTGCGGGTCGGCGGCCTCCTCCCTCTTCCTCTAGGTCCGGGTTTTATGAATGGGCCGGGCGACTAGCGCCCAGCGGCCTGTTTACTCCGCTCTTTGTGACGTCGCGGCCTCGTGACTGAGCGCGAGCGGCCCGCACTCCATTCACCCGCAAGGGAGGGGGCGGGAGGAGAGGCCGGCGGGGCGGAGGGGGCGGGGATGGGGCGGGGAGCCCGAGCTGGGGGCGGGAGGCGGGAGGCCCCGAATGGAAAGGGGCGGGGCTTCGCCAGGTAGTACTGAAGCTGCCCTCTCCCGGGGGAGAGCAGAGGAGCCTTAATAAATCTCTAAGCCGAGGAGGAAACTCTGGCTGGGGCAGTGCGCCGAGCTCCGGCTGCTCCTGGGGTGCGGCGGCCGAGCGGCGGCGCCGGCGGCGGCAGGAGCAACACAGCGGGCAAAATACAAAGAGGCCAGGACAGAAGGGAGCCCTCGGCCCACTCGCGTAAACACAGCCCCCTTCACCGTCGCCTCCCCCTCGCACCGCGCGGTGCTGCCGGGTGCCCGAGGCCGCTCGGACTGTTCTGTGCCTGCGAGACTGCGGAAGGAAGGCTACTGGGGACCAGACGGTCTCCTGTGCGAGTCCCTGAGGGCCAAGTTTCTGGCCACTTTTGCACGCGCCCTCCTTCAGCCCTCGCCCGCCCCTTCCAGCCGCCCAGCTGTTGTTCGCCGCCTCGTGTGCCAGCGGCCCCGGTTCCCAGCCACCATGGTGACGGTGGAGGAGCTGCGGGAGATGGACTGCAGCGTGCTCAAAAGGCTGATGAACCGGGACGAGAACGGCGGCGGCGCCCTGGGGCTGCTGAGCGGCGGCAAGTGCCTGCTGCTGGACTGCAGACCGTTCCTGGCGCACAGCGCGGGCTACATCCGAGGCTCGGTCAACGTGCGCTGCAACACCATCGTGCGTCGGCGGGCCAAAGGCTCCGTGAGCCTGGAGCAGATCCTGCCCGCCGAGGAGGTGCGCTCCCGCCTGCGATCCGGCCTCTATTCGGCCGTCATCGTCTACGACGAGCGCAGCCCGCGCGCCGAGAGCCTCCGCGAGGACAGCACGGTGTCTCTGGTCGTGCAGGCGCTGCGCCGGAACGCCGAGCGCACCGACATCTGCCTGCTCAAAGGTAAACGCGGGCTCCAAGGGCGGTGTATCGGGGCTGAGTGGCCAGGGGAGGAAGTCCCCGGGGGGGGGGGGGACTCGTGGCGGCGGGGATCCCCGCGAACTCCTTTGTGCGCGTCGATGTGCACGGGTCTGCCCGGGTTTGGGGCGCTCGTGTGCAGTGCGAGCTCCTGGAGTCCTCGGGACGGTGAGCGCGCGTTTCCCCCGTCACCTGCCATGCTGCACCCTTCCTGGCAGTTCTGCGTTTGTTTACACTCACTAACGGTCTGGCCTCGCGGGCGAGGCGCCTCTTCCGCGTTGCTCACCTTCCAGGGAAGCGCTCCTAAGTGTCACTGTGCGGGTGGGGACAGGTTAGGCCTGTTAGTTTGGCGCGCCGAGGCCCTGTACCGAGGTCCGACCCCGAGAAGCCAAGAGGCGGGGAACGGGTGAAGGACGGGGAGCGCCAGTTCGATGGTACACCTGCCCCTCGGAAATGCACCGGGAAGGTCGGGTTGTGGACGTTGCGTGGAGCGGTCTGTACCCACCCCCCGCTTCCCCCGCTGCCGCCCAACTCGAGTACCTCCCGGGAGAGGTGGTCCACTCCTCCGGTGCCGACCGAGCTAGAGGCTCTACCCGCCGGCGCGGGAGGCGGGAGGAGTGAGTGTTTGGGGAACGCAAGGCGGGACAGTGCCTCCCTAATATTCAGGCAGCGGAGTAGTACGACCTTTTGTTCAGGCGCGATTCTGGAGGACCAGACGGAAGGCTTGATGTAGAGAACCCTGGTGCAGCTCTTCGGGGAGGAGAGTCTTGCCAAAGCTGGAAGCCGGTTGCCGACCTCATACCGTCCAAGTAGCTGGAGGGAAGGTGCGCCGGCCGCACCTGCGGACCCGGCCGCGCCGCTGGCCCTGTCGGCCCTCGCGCGGGAGGAGCCGCAGGACGCGGGGAGCGAGGGCGCCCCTGGCCGCGATGCGCCCCTGCGCCCCTGCCTCCGGCCGCCGCATTCCGCGCATTCTTTCGCCCCGTCCGGTCCTCGCTGCCGAAGCCGGGAGGCGGTTCGGACTCCAGCCTTCAAGGAGCCGCTCGGTTCCTCCTGCCGGCGCCGCTCGCCTCCTCCCTCCTTTCCCTTCCTCTCCCGACCGGCTCACCCGGGAGGAAGGGAGACGGTGGGGGGAGGAGGGCGGAAACCTCTCCCCGCCGCCCTGTCCGAAAGGCTGCACAGAACTGCCCGGCGGCGACGGGCCGGGCTGGCCCCGGTGAACAGCGGGGGGCTTTGTTCTCGGCAGTTGTTTCCTGGCCATTTGACCTGTCAGCTGCTGGGGAAACGCTGCCGTTGACCTGTGGTTGAACCGCTCAGGCGATTTTGCTGATGCTTCTTTCCGTGGGAGGCTGCCTCCTGCACCTCCGGCGGAGCCCCGTCCTCCTCCCTTCTTCTCAAAGCGCTTTCAGAGAAAGTGCCAGGAAGGGGCCGGCGCCGCAGGGACCGCGCGCGGAGCTGTGTCCGGTCCGGGTCCCGGTTAGACCGTCCGCGTGGGGCCGGGCGGCGGCATACGCCCGCCTTTCCGTGCCCGGCGCTGGAGGGAACAATAAGAGAAGCTGCTTTGGGGCGAAAGTCCCTTCGCGTGGCCGGGTGTGGACGGGTGTCCCCCTTGCTGCGCTGCCCTGGGGCTCCTCCTGATTTAGAGCCGCAGCGCGTGCCTCCCTCGGGGGCTTCTGAACCCAGAACCCTTCTCGGGGGAGGGCAGACCCACGTGGAGTCTGGGTTCGTTTTGTTTTATTTTTCTTCCTGGAAGATATCCGGAGGGGACCGCCCTAGAGCGGCAGCTAGGGACCTTGGCCCTTGGGCTTCCGGGCGGGCGCGCAGAGACTCAGGCCCCCTTCCCAGGGAGGGAAGCATATTTTTAAGGTTTCCTCCTCTGGCTTGCGGCACCTCCATGGGTCCCCCAACCCCATCGGGAGAGCCCAGAGCCAGATCGATTCCGAGAGACGCCTCCCGGACTAGCCACTCTGCAGGAGGCAAATGCTGATGTAAAGACTGGGTAGGACCCGAGCTTCTGGGTAAAATGACAGTCCCCTGGCGGTTGTCGAGGTGCCTGGCCCACTGAAAAGCAGCGTTCCAGGGGCTGCTGCCTCCCAGGCCTGCACTGCCTCCTGTTGTCGGACCTGGTGCGGCCAGGAGGACGACCCTATGCATCTCAGAGTCCTCAGACATCCTCCCTCTGAGATGCAGAGTGTCTGGGCCTGGGTCTCAGGTTCAGCTTGTCTTTTCAGGAGCAGGCCATGGGCGTAGCCAGGAGGGGCCTGGGCTGCATGAGCAGAGGAAGCCTGCCCTTGGCAGCCAGGCCTGACATTCATTCTCAGGGGGGCCAGCTCTTCCAGCTGGTTCTGTGGGCTGGCGGGCTGTCTTGGAGGTTGTTACCTGGGTCATATTCTGTTCAACTGAGCTTATTGTCATATACGTGCTAAGCTGAGGCCCTCTTAACACAGTTCCTCTTCCTTCTCTTTGCCTTTTCCTGGAAAAGGCTTTCACCCTGAGGACAGAAAGAAATTGGGCAGCCTCTGCTCCCACGCCCCTGGGGAAGGTGCTGTATGGGGGAGGCAAGCAATGGATGCCTCCTGCACCCCAGTTGAAGGCAGCGGGGTGGAGGCCATGCGTGTTGTGGGGTGGGATAGGGAACGAAATAAAGGGAAACACCGGAAACAGCCTTAGATGATCTTTAGTCAATCCCTGAATTGATTAGGGGTTGGGTCATTTGGTTCCCAGTGGAGCAGTTCATCTTATTTTGTAGCTCATGGGCTTTTCTGTGTGTCTCGCGTCATGTGTGGTGCTGGGTGTGGAGTACACGTGGTTAGACATGAAGCCAGTCATCCAGTTGTTGGTGTCCGCCATCCGGAGGGACCATAAAAATAGCAGGGTATATGTTCAGAAGTTATATTATCCTTCCTGGCCAAAGGCTATTTAATTCTACCAATTATCATTATGTTTAACATTTTGATTTTTCTATGTTTAAAATTATGTTTAAAATTTCTGTCTCTTTGACCGGGCAGTTGCAGGTGGTTCATAACTAATACCACAGGTAAGAATTCAGAGTTAAGAGTAAACTTTACTTAATACCAATAAAATGCTGCCAAGTTTTGCTAAAAGCAATAACCCAAATCACTACATTTCTCTGGTCTTTTTTTGCGATTAAAATTCCCATTGGGGTAAACTTTTTTAAAAAGCTAAGTTTATTTAAAATCCTATGAGGCATTTTTAGGGACAGTTTAGAAGTTTCAGTTTTTCAGCTTTTATTACAATACACCTCTCCTTTCAAATCCCTTTCTCCTTCATAAATCCTTGGATTAGGGTTTTAGACCACCCCCCCCTCCCCCCACCCACACACACACTCACCTTGGTCATTAGAGAAAGACAAAAAGAGAATTTTTTTTATCCTAATGGAAGTCATTCCTTACCCCATCTTTCCCAAATAACAAATCAGTCTGTTAAAACATTATCTTTCCCTTTTCCTGTCTAAAATTCATCTCAGCTCATGACCGTTGTCAGTTCTTCAGGTTCTGAAATAAAAGCTGAGAAAGTGGGAGGATCCACCAGATATTCCAGCTTCTCACTCCCAGTTGGAACTCATGGGCCCCTTGGGCCCCAGGCCTGGCCAACCATTCAGAAGCTGATATCACACTTTCTGCAGAAAACAGCCACCAAGGGCAAAAGAGAAATGGTTTGGGGGCGTGATGGGGCTCAGCCAGCAGCCCTGGCAACTCTGGTGACTCTCTCCTGCCTGGTCTCACTCTGTCCCTACTTGTCCAGCCCATCTCAGGTCCCCAGGAGGTGAATAGCATAGCCCCGGTGTGGGGGGGGGGGGGTGAGGAGGGGAGGAGGATGCTGAGTGAGGTCACATACCTCCTCCACCCAAAGGGACTGGCTTTTCTCCTTACAAATAAGACACAGAGCCTGTGACAGCCAAGGATTTTAGAATTACAAAAAAAAAAATAAAAGGGTAGGCCCTAAAGATAATTTCTACCCCCTATTTAATTTGTTACAGAGTTACAAAGAATGAAGCAAACTCACTACTTTTTGCATCATTTGAACTGGATGCTTCCAACACACCAGTAACTGCAGACAGAGTGTCCCGGTAAATGGAGAGTGAAAACATCATCCTTACTAAGCCCATCGCAGCTCCCTGGGGCTTGTCCCTGATGCTTATAAGAGAGCTGGGCTGCACCCACCAAGATGGGCTGCACAGACGCTGAGGGGCGGAGAGAGGAGGGCGGCCTTTTTTAAGGAGCCAAGACATTTCTTTAAAAAGGCAGGACATCTGAAACCAGATAGCTGGTTTCCTTACTGGGAGGCAGTTCCCGCCTAACAAAGGGGAAGTTTGACAGGAAGGAAAGTTCCCTGAAACGGAAGCCAGCTTGCTGAACGCAGCAGACAAAACAGGACTGGGAAGGACTTGCAGACAAGACCAGCCGAGTGGGGCCTCAGGTGTCAGCCAGTTGTCCCAGGACAGGCAGCTTTGTGGTGAGAAGCCCACTTAAGTAAAATTTAATAACTGAAAACTGCTCAGCATTCCATGGGTGCTTACTAAGTCAACACCCACCTCCAGGGAAGTGCTCAAAGCCAAATGACCTTCAAATGACCTCAGACTTTCTTGCTGGCAACATATGCCTCGTATTGATAGGATGTCTCTGGAGAGCCGGGCTGCGAGCCCTGACTGTGAACGGGTGATATGCTGAGTGTTAGGGGGGAAAGCAGCAGCCACATTAACATTGGCGAACCCGGTCCCGCCAGTGCCAGTCTTCCCCATCACAGACCCCATTAAGGGCCCTGTTATGGTGATGGGATCAGCACCGCATCAGCCTGTCCTTTCTGAAGCGCCCTACACACACTCTCCCAGCCCTGCATGGACGGGAGGCCAGTCGGCCATCATTGCCAGTAAACTCTGAAACGTGCGTTGCCGTGAGAGTGAGAGGAAAAGGAGAGCACAGAGTTGAACTAGAAATGTTCCCGAAGGAAGTTGGCTGAGAAATTATATTCCCTCCCCCCCCTCCACCCCCCCAGAAAACCCAACCATTCCAGTTTTAAATGTAAGATGAGAAAATCAGAACTTTAAGACTAGGAAGCGTATTATTAAATAAGAACATGGAAGAAACAAACAGGTGAAAATGAGTCAGAGTCTATTATGGGATGACATTTACTAGGGCATAGAGAAAGCAGGTGGAATCAGTAATGAAATTGTTTTGAGATAACAATGAAGATCTTGAGCACATAATGTCAGTTTGTAGTTCGCAGATAATTAAATTGAGGAATTTAGAGGTGATATAGTCTGAAATCCTTTCATTCTGAGGGCGGGAATACAAAGGGTGAGGAGAGAGTGTGCTTGCTCAAGCTCCCACTGGCGCCCGCACCCTGCGCTCTGCCCCCTCTCTGTGCACCTGCAGGAGGCATGGGCTCCAGCCCGGCCCACGGTGTCCTGTTGGAATAAGCCTTCTTCTCCTAAGTTCTGGATAAAACTTGGTGATTTAAATTGAGCCCTGACAGGGCTGTGGCTCTGGTGTTTGCGTGGATTTGGGAGTGTGGAGGGGAGGCGCTGGGAAGCTTGGGAGCATATTTTGACCTCCCCACCCCGCCACAGTAAGAATTCATTTTCATTTCCATCCTGACCCAGTACAGGGATGCAGACACACCTGAAACCAGAGTTCCGTGAAATTATAGCGTCTTTAAATGCCAGTGCATTCTAGCAGTTTCTATTTTATTGCGTTAAATTTAAAAGGCTGGTCACAGCTCCTCATGACAACCTGGAGGTAGGAAAGCACTGGAAAGAAGTGGGGTTCGGTGAAATGCCAGCAGTGTTCTGCCGGGGGGGGGGAGGGGGTTGCATGAAAACGGTGTCTTTGCATGTTGCAACCAGCAAGCAGGCCGTGCCCTGGAGGAGGACCACCAGGAGGGCAGAGCTGGGTGAGAAGCAGGGTGGGCCCAGACAGCTGGTTAGAAGCCGCCTTTGAGGCCAATGGGCTGAACGCTGGCTGTGCCCTTTCCTGGGGCTGCCCTGCACCTCAGCTTCCTCCTCTGTGACACTGGAACTAGCCACACCTTCCTCAAGGGCTGCTGGTTGGACACATGTATGGGAAGAGCCTGGCATGGTAAGCATTTCCTCTCAAGAGTGCCCATCATTTTAATTAACACGGATCTGATACAGAGGCGGCTTCCTGCGATGTGGCCTGGTAGGGTAGACTTGGAGGTTCCTAACGTGCACGATTCCATGTACCCCACTCGCCTGCATGCTTCTGGCCCGAGGGCAGCCACTGGCCCCCCAGAAGGCCCTCCTTTGTAACAACCAGCCGGACCCCCAAAAGCCACAGGTCCAGAGTGAAAACCCCTTTCATTGCTGCCGCCGTCACAGATGTGGCCCTTCTGTGCTCCTGTCCCTCCGGCTGATCTGCTTCTTCCCTTAAGTCCCTTTCTGCTTGTTCTTTAAAGATCCGCCAGAGGGCACTGACTTTTCAGCATGTTTCTGTTCTGTTCCAATAGTGTCTTTTACTGACCATTTCGGGTCTGGCCTCTGGGTCACCTCTGTCTTGTCCCCCCACCGGCCACTCCCCCGGGGTCAGCCTCTGACTCAGGTTCTCTGCACCTCCCGGTTGATGGAGCCTGGGAGGCAGCGGATGTCCCAGGCCCGGGAGGGTCTCCAGCCCAGAAGTGCGGTACCTGTCCTTCTGCTGGCTGAGTGTCGGGTCTGAAGACTCCAGCTGGAAAACACAATGACGCCCAGGAGGAGAAGGGGCCCAAAATCTGGGAAGTGGCCAGGAATGCTGGGGTCCCCTCGTAGGTGCCCAGAAAGGAACCTTCCTTATGCGTCTCCCTGAGGCCAGGCGCCCACTGGCCGTCCCAGTCAGTCCTGCGAGGACTGCTGGCGTGGGTGCTCCATCCCATTACATGGACGAGGAAGAAGCTCAGAGCGGCTGCGTGCCGGCCCCAGGCCCGTGAGTCTGACTGCACAGGCTGTGTCCCCTCCAGAGCTTCAGTCTGGTGCCCTTCCTGTACCTTCTCGGCAGTGGGAAGAACATTCTTTTTAAAAAATATATTTTTATTGATTTCAGAGAGGAAGGGAAGGGAGAGGGAAAGAGAGATAGGAACATCATTGATGAGAGGGAATCATTGATCAGCTGCCTCCTGCACGCCCCACACTGGGAATGGAGCCCGCAACCCGGGCATGTGCCCCGACCGGGAATTGAACCGTGACCTCCTGGTTCATAGGTGGATGCTCAACCACTGAGCAACACCGGCCGAGCCACGTGCTGACTTTTGTGTAGGTGTTCAACATGGTCTGTTGACTGATCCATTTCCCTTTCTACTTTCTCCGAAGGGGAGGAAGCATTTACAAGGTTTCCCGTCTCAGATGTTTGGGGGGCAGCGGTGTCGGCAGCTAATAAAGGAAAGAGGGGGCAGATGGGGGTGATAAGGGGAGGGAGAGCTGCCCTGTGCTGAGGTCACCGCTGAGGCCACCTACCGCTGAAACTGGCAGCACGGGTGGGCCCCTCCCCAGGTTGTCTGTCCAGGGAGGCTGGTCATTATGACTCAGCAGGAGCAGGTGCCTGTGACTGGAGAGATAGCCATTTATTATCCCGGTGAGGGAGGGAGGCAGCGGAGGGGAACAGAGCCTCCGGTCAGGGAGGAAGAAGTGCAGGCCCTGTTTCTGTAAGCCTTATGATGTGGCAAAGAATCATGTCCCTTCCTTTCTGAAGCAGCTTCTAGGGCTGGAATTCTGGGCAAGAAATTGACTAACCATCACATGTCAGCATATTGGAAGGTTACGATGAATGTTACAGGGAACAGTGGCACCAGGTCACTGAGTCACCAGGATTTAAAGGTACTAGCTACACACGTGACCATCAGTTCAAGGGGTCCATTAGAATAGTTGTTCCACAACAGGCAGGCCCTACTGAATTATTTTTAAGTAAATTTATGGTTTAAAAAATTAGATATAATTGACATGTAACATTAGTTTCAGGTGTAAAACATAATGATTCGATATTGACTATATTGCTAAATATCACTGCAATAAGTTTACTTAACATCTGTCACTGTCTAGGGTTTAAATTTTTTTTCTTGCGATGAGAACTTTAAGATCTAGTCTCTTAGCGACTTTCCAATATGCAATACAATATTAATAGCTATAGTCACTAAGTGGTACATTACATCCCAGGACTCATTTATCTTACAACCGGAAGTTTTGATCCCCTTCATCTACTGAATTAATTTATAATCCATCTTTGGTCCTACAGAAACTGCAAAGTGAAACACAAGCAGGGCCAAACATTGACGGTAGTTGGCAAGTTACTGCAGAGCCATGTCCAGAAGTCACAGGATCTGAGTGGAGGCTGAGCATTTCTCGTCTCGGAGTGGTTTCCTGCCTGCCTCTGCCCAGCCAGGCCTTTCTGCTTGGCACCATCCCACAGGTTTAGCTCTTTTCACTGAAAAGATCTCCTTTCCCCGGAAGGTGATCTCACAGATAACCATCCCAGGGCTTAGCAACTCTCAGGTCAGGAAATCCTCCCTTGCCCCAAACCTGTGTGTGTAGCAAGAGGGGTTTATTTAGATTGAAGCCCATTTCCTCTTGTTCTGGCCCCTTGTCGACGGAACAGCTGTTCACAAGGCTGGTCGACTGGCATCGGCTTTGTTGCCGAGATCCAGAAGGGCTCCTGCCAGAGTAACCTTTTTCCTTCTCCCCCCACTGCAGCTCTCCAAAGGAAGGGCTAAATTGGGGAAAGACAGACATCTTTGCAGGTTTCTTGTTCTTATGGACACCCACAGCAGCCTTGGCCTGTCCTCACCCTAAGGGGCTCCTCTGGAAAGAGGCCCTTCTGCATGCCCCCTGCACATCTTCCTCTGTGTGTCTGTATCCCTGAACGTGGACTCAGCATCTCTGGAAAAGGCTCCATAGCCATTTTCTCTGGGCCCACAGCGCCACCCAGTGGTAAATGCAGGGACAGCTCGCCTCACTCAGTGCAGGGATAGGATTCAAGTTCTTTGTGGTTCCTGTCTGGCTTAGTGACCCCATTAACCTGAACTTCTTTCTCCTCACAGGTGGCTATGAGAGGTTTTCCTCCGAGTATCCAGAATTCTGTTCCAAAACCAAGGCCCTGGCAGCCATCCCGGCCGCAGTGCCCCCCAGCACGGCCGAGTCCTTGGACCTGGGCTGCAGCTCCTGTGGAACCCCACTGCATGACCAGGTGTGTGGGGGCTTCTTTTCAGAGTTCTGCTTTCAGAGGCTTTGGATATTGGGATGGGTTGTAAGGTAGGTTAGGAATAGGTTATTCCTTGGAATTCTCCCTCTTCCCTCTCTTACTTTCCTAACTTAAGAAAAAAATAGAAAGACATAACTCTTGCCCTAGCCAGTTTGGCTCAGTGGATAGAGCATCGGCCTACGGACTGAAGGGTCCTGGGTTTGATTCCGGTCAAGGGCATGTATTTTGGTTGCAGGTTCCCCAGCTCTGGGGTGCATGCAGGAGCCAACCAATTGATGTGTCTCTCACATCAATGTTTCTCTCTGTCTCTCCCTCTCCCTTCCAATCTCTAAAAATCAATGGAAAAATATCCTTGGGTGAGGATTAGCAACAACAACATTTAAAAAGACGTTACCTCCCTGATTAGTCTCTAGAGTTATGTGTAGACAAACAAGGAGGCTGCTGAGGCTGGACGTGTGGACCTACCCTGCAGGAAGCTGAGCGAACACCCTTCTTTGAAGGAGTGGCCTGTGGACCCCACCCCGTCCAGAACACTCAGGCTGCCCCCACTTATAAATGACATAAATGGCCAGCCAGCTCTCCCCCAAGAGAACCGGCATAAGCCATTCCATTTCTTACAAGCCCATCCCTTCCAGCCCTTTTCATGTAGATGGAGAGGGGTGCACTTATGGAACCCAGCAACTCTGCTCCCCAAATCTCAGATTGCTTAGGAAGCCGTCCTTCATTTAAGCCAAGGTTACCTAATTTTGCCAAGATCCCTCCTTTTGTCTGTGAGGCCGGCATGGCATCTATTTTTGACGTAACAAGTGAAGAAGTATCCAACCTAAGAAGTCCTAAACCACCCAACAGATAGCTTGGTGATGGGCAGGTGTAAGCTCTTAAAGTCACAAATGGTGGACAAGCCAGCACCGTGTCTGTCTCCCTCTATCACGGGGGAGCTGCTTGAACAAGGCTTTCCTGTCCTGGCTTCTCTGCAGAGGGCAATGTAAAGGCGAGAGGAGTCCCACTGGGCCACCGCTCCCTTCAGGAGCCTCCTCAGGATGAGGGGAAGCCTAGAAGGGCTGTGTCCAGGCATTCTCCCCAGGGCGGTGAAAGCCCTTCTCCCCGTCCCAAGCACCCCAGCCCTCTTCCTGCCTGCTTTGCACTCACGATGTTGGGGGTCTGTTTTCCCTCTCTGATGCAGGGGGGTCCGGTGGAGATCCTCCCCTTCCTCTACCTCGGCAGTGCCTATCATGCTGCCCGGAGGGACATGCTGGACGCCCTGGGGATCACGGCCCTGCTGAACGTCTCCTCTGACTGCCCGAACCACTTCGAAGGACACTATCAGTACAAGTGCATCCCCGTGGAGGACAACCACAAGGCTGACATCAGCTCCTGGTTCATGGAAGCCATCGAGTACATCGGTAGGTAGGCTGGCCCTGGTGGGGACTGGGTCCAAGGCAGGGTGGGCAGGGTGGTAGGGACCATTTGTAACTCCTGTGGGGGAAGAAGGGATGGAGAGGTGGTTGCCAGGGTGTACTCTGCCTGCCCCCCGCCCCCCTTCCAAAGGAAGGCCTGCCTGTTGCATGGTGTGCTGGGCAGGGATGGGAAACCTGATCCTAGCCCGTGCTGTTAGCTTGCAGAGCCAATAGCCTTTCCCTTCCATGTCTCCAGGTTATATTGGTGATAAGGCTCCTGGGATGGGGAGGAGGACAAAGAAAGGAGAATTGAGTCATTATTTTTATTTCTGCAGAGGAAATCCTTGAATGTATTGGGGTTTAGCATGTGTTTTTTCCCAAACTCAATGCATGGGTTAGGTTGTCTCAAAAACAGCCTAGAATGGTGGGGATTCGACAGCCCCTCCACGTAGGTATCCTCCCTGCCCCCTTTCCGTGGGAGTGCCCCATCCTCTGACACCTGTCCAGCCCCCTCGCCCTCCCTGCTTCCCTCCCACCCCCACTGCTGGTCCGGCCGCCTGCCTAGGCATTTGGGGCGGCCTGTGTGGGGTGGGGCGGCCTGTGTGGGGTGGGACGTGGCTGCGCAGGCGGGGCACTGACGCCTGGCTCCCCGCAGACGCCGTGAAGGAGTGCCGCGGCCGCGTGCTGGTGCACTGCCAGGCGGGCATCTCGCGCTCGGCCACCATCTGCCTGGCCTACCTGATGATGAAGAAGCGCGTGAGGCTGGAGGAGGCCTTCGAGTTCGTCAAGCAGCGGCGCAGCATCATCTCGCCCAACTTCAGCTTCATGGGGCAGCTGCTGCAGTTCGAGTCGCAGGTGCTGGCCACGTCCTGCGCCGCCGAGGCCGCCAGCCCGTCGGGGCCCCTGCGCGAGCGCGGCCAGGCCACCCCCACGCCCACCTCGCAGTTCGTCTTCAGCTTCCCGGTGTCGGTGGGCGTGCACGCGGCCCCCAGCAGCCTGCCCTACCTGCACAGCCCCATCACCACCTCCCCCAGCTGCTAGGGCCGCGCGGGGAGCCCCCGAACCAGGGGCCTTCAGCGACAGCCGGGACTGCCCGGCCGGGGACAGGCCCAGGCCCCTGCCGTCACTTGTCCCCGGCCGGCCGCCGGGCCGCCAGATGGCAATAAGGACTCTGCAGACCTGTTCACAGCCGGCAGAGCAGCCCTCCGACCTCCAGCAATAACGCCGCCGCCGGGCGGGGAAGACCTGGGCGTGGTGTGGGAGTCCCTGTGACGTGGCGGATGGGAATCTCTTACCTCATTTTTCTAAGCAGTAAGGCTTGAAGTTCGGAAACCCACAGGTCCTGGCCAATGTGCCCACGCAGTTTTACGAAAGGGCGGGGGAGGGGGGAGGCGGGACAAGAAGACGACGAGTTGCCCGAAGTGCCTGGTTCTGTGTGCTTGGCCCTTTTTGTGGTTGAGGTTACAGGGACTTTCCTCTAAAGGAGTCTTCGAGGACCCGGTTTTCCCTTCTAAGTCACAAACAGGTGAATAATTCTGCTTCATAATAAATAAAAGTATTTATTAAGAGCTTCCGCGAGAATCTAAGTACAGGGGGTCTAGCGCAGTGACTGAAGGATATGCTTTTGTGACGGCATAGCGGCGGCTGACGTCACAGTGGGCACAAGAGGCGGCTGACGTCACAGAGGCCAGGAGGTCCGTGGCCCCCCCCCCCACGGGGCCAGGCTTGCATCTGGTCCGCCCGGACTGGCGCTGAGGCAGGCAGGGCGCGGTGGAGGAGGAAGAAAGGGACTGCTTTTTAACAACTTTCCAAGCTGGTTCCTGGGCACGTGGACGCCGAATGACTTCAAACCACAACAGCACAGCCTTTTCTCTCTGATGCTCAATAATTCAGTTCGGCAGGTGGGAGCATTTTTCTCAGCCACCTGCCTGAGGACTTGCAGACCATCTGTGACAAATGCCATATCCTATCAGGTGCTCTAGACACGCTGGGTGCAGTTCAGCTTGTCCCGGGCCCTCGGGGAGACCAGCCAACTAGAGGCACACCGGAAACGAATCCTTTTGTACATGGAAATACCACCTTTTCTCCTTTGCATACATACGTTGGAGATTTTCATGTTCGGGGGTTACTTGGCATGAAGTGCAACCAACAAGTTTAAATTCCTGGTTTAGGGGAATGTCTTCAATGGCCCGCTTTTGAATAAAAAGGGGAGTGGACCCCGCGTTTCAGGTCTCCCTGAAGTCCAGGATGGCAAAAGCGTGAGAGGGGAGTTGGGGTAGAGACTTTGCTTAGGAGGTGGCTGTGGGCTCCTGTGAAGGTCGTCATGGGCATTTGGGTGCCGTTTCAGGGTCCTGTCTTGAGATACTGCCACGTGAAGGGGCCTCCCAAACAGAGGAGGGGCTTCTGGAGGGAGAAGGGGCTTTCTGTGGGTTGGGCTTGCGGGGAGGGAGAGGGAAAACAGCTACGTGTTATTTTGTAGTTGTGTGGAACAGTGTTGTTTCGGAGTGCCGGATTAGAGGTAATTGCAAACTTGTCTAGAAATGAGAGCATTTTTTTAGTCCCTGGAGAGCCTAGATCTAGATGGACATTCTTGCTCGCCTGTGGATAACGTCCAGCCTGTGTCAGGGCGGTGTTGGGGTGCACGTCTCAGCCTGGCGGTCCAGACAGGGCCTGGTTCCTTACATTTCCTTCGCGAACGTGAACCCGTGTTGGCATTATTCGTCCTGCCTCTGTCAGGCCCTGTCCTTGGGTGGTGATGCCCGAGATTCCCTCCTTCCCCGGGAGCTGCGCAGCTGAATAGTCAGGGGCGAGGGGTGGTGGGGCTGGGGTTCCTGGACAATGGAACTGTTCAGACACAGCACAATTGGGCGTTCCCCCCTTTTCCTTGATTCCTGGAAGTCCCTTCGTGTTTTGTGGTAAATGAGGTCAGGTGGGTTCTGCAGCTGAAAAAGCTATGGATTCCAACAGTGGGTAGGCCTGGAGGAGGGCTGCTCGAGGGGGGAGGGAAAGTATACATTTGCCAAAACCTATGTATCCTTCCCCAGACGATCCCAGCCTCATGGACGTCAGAGCTTGGCCCATTCAGGCCTTCCCCCGCCTTGCAATGCGAGTCTTCTAGCGCAGTGTCAACTGCTATTTATAAAGCCATCTTCTGGGTACTGGTAACAGCGTGAGTCCCCAGACTCTCAGAAATAAAGTAGAGAATTGGCTTGATTGGAAAAGGGGGTTTGGGGTTATTTCATCATCAGAGGCCACTTGGATGACTTGGAGTAGCTCCGTGAAGATACCACCACAGGGTCAGTCCAAATGGCCAGTGGCTTTCAGTCGCCATCCCTCCCATGAAGTGGCCCCTGGTGATGAAGCCTTTCTGTAATGGCCGCTTCCACTGATGATCAGCTGTGCTGCTGGCTACTAAAGTCAGTGGACTCTGTCTTCTGTAGAGACCAAGGAGTGCTGCCAGTTGCCTTTCAGAACCGGTGCGGCGTAAGGGTGTTTTTTATGGGATGTCAATTATACAACCAATAAGATGTTCACTACCAAAAATTCAAATAACACAAATACATGAGTAAGGGAGCAGCAAGGGAAATGGACTTGGCTTCCCCATGGAGCAGCATCCGGCTGAAGTCACCGTGAGCAGGTGGCCTGGAGAGCCCAGCTTCAGTCCTCTCCTGAGGCCATTGTCCTCAGGTGCTCATTCCAGGTGGATTCCAGATGGATTTCAACAAGGTTGGGAAGCCACGAGGCCATTTTTAAAATCCTTGGAAGGTGGACAGAGGGAGGTGGGATGGGTGATTCAAATGTGAGGGGGAGGGGCTGTTGGCCACCAAGCCCACCTTAAAGCAGTGGTGACCTGCCCACTCCCGTCAGTTGGGGAGCTTAGAAAACCCTGCTGCCAGGCTATCCCAGACCAATTCAGCCAGGATTTCTGGAAGAGGGCCCCAGGCATCAGCATGTTTCAAAGCCCTCCACGCCACCACCAGGGGCTTGTCACTGACTGGTTCAGCCTGGTCTCACTTGCAGTCCCAGCCTGGCTGAGGTTCAAGGTGGTTTCTCTCAGGAGCTCAAGGAGCATGTGACCTGAAGGGGCCACCATTTCATGCTTGAAAGCTGATCTGGGGAGTATTGTTAGGGAACTGAATAGTGTCTGCATGTTGATGTTTTTCCTTGGAAGTCTCCTTGTCTGTCAAGATGGAGAGTTTCACCTCTTTGAAGATACCCCTCCCGCCTCCCAGGAGCACAGGGGCGATCGGCCTTCCTCAGAGTTTGAGTTATCCCAGGGGGAGGCTTCTTCACCACCGAGCAATGCAATACTTGTAACTTGTGTAAATAGCCCCATCTTCCGGAGTGATGTCATTTCTACATTTGATATGCTTGTATCTCTGTAGGATGTATATAGTCTAGGGGATTTTCTTTTTTTTTGTTTGATTTTGTTTTTTAGAAAAGTCAACATGTCTGTTTTTATTTATTGCTTGAAAAAGATCATTTGACAAAAAATAAATGCATTTTCAACCACCTTTGGCTCAGGCTATCCTTTCCTTGGAAACTGCTGCTATGATGACTTGGCAGGGGAGGAAAGATTTGGGCTATTTAATACCCTTGTGCACTTGGCAATATCTACAGTGGAGCCCGGCTCAGCGAGCCCACTTCTGCTCTCTGACCACCACTCAAGGATGGTGACAGGAGAAGACCGATAGAAATCTCCAACAATCTGATTTCTCTAGGCAGAGAGACCACCAAGAATTGAATGATAAGAGACAGGGAGTGTCTTCCATCTGAGAAGGTACTTTGTGCCCCGCACAGGATGGCGCGATAAGGATGGCTCCTCAATGGCAGACGTCAGTCTTAAACAGCCCAAGCACCAGTGATTAGGGCTGTGACAAGAACGTAGAAGGCAGTCGCACTGCTGGGACACCCCTCCCCACGGATAACATTCCCACGCTGACTCTATGTCACCACTTTGGTTGGTTGTATATGGCTTAAATTTAGTAAATTTACTAAAAATCACTGAATCGCTTCAAATGGGTAAATTTTATGGGATGTAAATTATACACCAATAAGATGGTCACTACCAAAAATTCAAATACAAATAAATGAGTAAAAAGTGAAAGTTCCTCCGCCATATCCCCACCTTACATCTCACTCCTTTTATTTTTAGTAACCGAAAGGAACATTTGGTGTAATGACTTTGAGACATTTATTTATGCATTTTATAGTTATGTGTCTGACAGGATACTATTCGAGGCATCAGCCAGGATCTTTCCCCTGGGTGTTCCCTGCCCTCAGTCTGATCAGCCATTTACTCTTACTGCCCCACGTTAGGGATGGCGCTGGAGAACACAGACATGGAAGACTCATCCTGTCTCTTGTGCTGCCAAGGCACAAAGCAATAGAGTTGGGCAAAGGTGCTTGCTCAGTCAGGTGACGGTGGTGCACGCACACACGCACGCACGGGAATCCCAGCCGGCTTTCCCATTTCAGGATGCACGGCTGGCCCGTGTCTCACACAGTTCTGCTTCACCCTTTTTAATGGCTGCATAATATTTGATAATGTGGATCAATTACTTACAAATAGCAAAAAATTTTCACTTTTTATTTCTTCTTTAGCTTAAGAATTATATAGGGCAGAATTTTAACCATTTTCATCTCACAGCATACCAAAATGTATTTTTGTTGCCGATCTGACAAAAAAAAAGTATAATTAAAAATACTATATATTTTTATTGATTTCAGAGAAGAAGGGAGAGAGAGAGAGAGAGAAACATCAATGAGAGACTCATTGATTGGCTGCCTCCTATACGCCCCCCACTGGGGATCTGAGCCCACAACCCGGGCATGTGCCCTGACCAGGAATTGAACCATGACCTCCTGGTTCATAGGTCGACACTCAACCACTGAGCCACGGCAGCCGGATTTCCACATCTTTTCCTGGCTTGATAGCTCATTGCTTTTTAGACTGAATGTTATTCCATTGTGTGGATGCAGCAGTTTGTTTATCCTTTAACCTAATGAAGGAAAGGACATCTTGGTTGCTTCCAAGTTTGGCAATTATAAGTAAAGCTGCCATAAACATATGTATACACACGTTTTCAAATATCGAGAAGCATGCTTGCTGGATTGTATAGTAAGAATATATGTTTAGTTTTGTAAGAAACTTCCAAACTGTCTTCCAAAGTGGCTGTACCATTGTGCATTCCCACCAGCAATGAATGACAGTTCCCACTGCTCTACATCCTCACCAGCACTTGGTGGTGTCCATCTTCCACAGTTTGGTCCTAATAGGCGTGTAATGGCATCTCATTGTTTTAATTTGCATTTCTCTGATGACATATGATATTAAATATCTTTTCATTTGCTAGTCACCATCTGTTTATTTTCTTTGGTGAGGTGTCCACGTTTGGGGCTATTTTTCACTTGGGTTGTTCATTTTCTTAATACTGAATTTTAAAGAGTTCTTTGCATATCTTGGATAATAGTTCTCAATCAGATATCTTTTGCAAATATTTTCTCCCAGTATGTGGCTTGTCTTCTCGTCCTCTCCAGTCTTTCACAGAAGTTTAACTTCAATGAAGTTCAGCTTATCAATGTCTTCTTTTCACGGCTTATGCCTTTGGTGGTGTGTTTTAAAGTCATTGTGGTGTGGGGTTTCCAGTTCTGCAGCTAAGCAGCTTGCAACCTGCCACCCTGTCTTAACATGTAAAAGGCTGAACAGACTGAAAAGTCAACTCTCCTCAGATGCATAAGAGAGGTAAGGACACAGGGAAAATGACTGTCCCCCAGAGGGAGAGACTGACAGGAGAATACGGAATATAACAATTTACCGGACACGAGACACGAGTGGAAACCGCTATGGGAACCAGGGCTGGGTAGGAAAAGAAGGCCATACTTAACGAATTGCTGGAGGCTCGGGGTGGACAATTCTGGGAGTTAAAAACTCCAGGGGGACCCAGTCAGAGGGGCCACTGTAATTTTGTGAGATTTATTTCTAGGAGCTCTAACAGATTCCCACAGTAAATACTGGAGAAAAATCTCCTTGTGCTTCTGGCAGGGGGAGAAGAAACTAGTTTGAAATATGCCTGAGCATCGCTCAGAACAAGTCCTGCCCTTAGCTCTATTCATTCTCTTAGTAACTCTACAAAATAGCTGGGGCAACTATGGCACAGGGCAGATGAGGAGCTTCCTAAGGTCACGGGGCCAGTAAGTGGCCGAGCCAGGCTAAGAGCC